AGAGGTATAAAAAATTAGAAAGATAAAGCAGGGATTGTGTCTGCAGTAATGCCTGGTTCCCACTCTTGGGTGCTTTTTATTGTCTGTTCAAACGACACATTAAATACAATGTTCTACTGCCAAATGCTTTTTGCTGCAGCATGATTAAAATACCTTCTACCGTGATGAGACAGTGAGCACTACATGCACTGCTCATGACGTGCTTAAATAATTCAGTCTGGTGTCGATATCATTTTCATTTTCAGATCTGTTGCTTGTCAGCGATGAAGCCAATTTTCAGCGCGCCCGCTGCAGACTGACTGCAGGTAAACTCCGATAGGTCTTCCAGCACAGCTGCACAGCTACACGACTATACAACTCTTCAAAGGGCTTTAAGGATTCAGAGCCTACTTTATCAGCTGGACAAGGAAAAGCCCATCTCCTACGGTTATACAGCATTAAGGAAAAAATGTGGTGACCTTTTACATTTTTCGCTGAGGAAAAAAACATCCCGTGAGGAATGAGAGGCGGAGGTCAGTTTGAGAGTGTATTCATTCTCTGGTTAATGTCCAACAGCCTCACTATCTAATCCTCAGGTCGCATTAAATCCAACCAGCCGAGCAGTCATTTGTGTTTTCAATTATGCAGTCGCAGCGGCAGGAACTTTCTGTCTCTTCCTGAAAGACAAAATCATAACTGTTGTACGTTACTACGAGCTGTCTAAACAGATGATCCTAGAAAGATATGATACTCATCTTGCATAATGAATCCATCACTAGAAAATCACTTTGCCTGCAATTTTCCAGAAAGCTATGCATGTTTTCACTCTGAAGACTATCGCTACGTTTCAATATGTTCTATGAATAACAAGGAGCTCGACCGTTTCCAGGTTACTGTTGACGGGGAGATTCAAATCAGGTGAAAAAACTTTTTCAGGTAATCTTTGTGTTTCATAAACTCCACCACAAATCCTGCAATGCAGTAATGCAGTACGTTAATGTAACAACAGCAGAAAATACATTTACTGTAGAGATTTAGGCAGATGTTTAATATTTCTTCTTTGACTCCACGTCTGAACAAACTGTTTATTCCAGTGCTTATACCTGACAGCAGACACTGGCTGGTTCACGTGTTCCAATATCCAAACAAAAATGCAGTAATACAATGGACTGAAAAAACCATGAGAAATTGTACATTTTCTTAGATTACATTTTGAATGTAGCTCTTTTGAAGTATTTTTACACTAGAGTATTTACTCTTCTGTAAAATGGAAAAAATACTGCAAACATGAACTCAAACATTTCTTTTAATTTTTTTATGGTTCATCAGAAACATGCCTCACTCACCTCCCCGCTTTAGTAATGATCATCTCTGTACCGGCCTCGTGGAACTTCTTCCACAGCTCCCTCTCGTGAAGGACGACCTTAATGTTCTCAATGTTCTGAAGGAAGAGTCACAGTTACAATCAAAACTACTCAGACCATCCAAGAAAATGCAAAATAGTTGCATATAAACACCAAAGGGAGCAATTTATAAATCAGCCTAAAGCGTACTATTTCACAGTCCATCCAGAAGATGCAAGATTGCCCTCCGTGCGTACCTGGTCGGGCTCGGTGGAGCTGGGAACGGTGGGAGCTGTGGACAGGCCCAGTCGCGACTGGTCTGGAAGCAGATCCGTCTCCCCGCCGGTCTGGAGCCGGCTCACATGTTCGTCCGTCACAGTTGAAGCTTTCTCCTGAAGCATCGCTGCAGGATTAGAAGAATACCCAGCTGTCAGATTTATCAGTGAGCAGCAGTGAAAGCAGAGGGGAACTGCCACTGTGGGTCAGACCTGGCACAGGACATTTTCCAGATGTAATGTAGCCTCATGTCATATACAGTTATAAAGTATACTCCTATATATATTCTATTACTGTGAGACAGCATTGGCCTTAAATCAGTGGTGCCAAGAACTTTATTAAGCTATGGTCATTTTATGCTATGTAATGATTAATGTGGAAGCAAAACTTTATTTCAAAGTTTTTGTTTTTCATTAAATGTTTTAAACACTAGTTTTTATTAACTTAAAAAATGATCTGAAATAAAACAACTCTACCTTTTATTCAACAACAATTCTATCTTTTTGCCACACCTTTGTGTGTTTTTTACACAAATGTAACAGACTGCACGTCAGTGTGAGTGCAGATCACATGTTGTGCGACTGTGAGCCTGCACAGCTGCGGGCCATCATCTTACATATTTAGGTTTTTGAATTTAAATATGAATTTCTAAGATTTAATTGGAGTGTGTAAAACTTCCCCCTTCTCCAAAATAAAAACGTCCAGCTAAGCTTTTGTAGTATGAAGTCAGGTTTCCATTACAGACCGCACACTTTTTGCCAATGAAAGATTTTCTATTTGAATGACATTTTTAGACCCAAAAGCATTTTTGAAAAAGTGAATGCTATATATATGCAGCCTTTATTTTTGTAGTTGAGATCTTTGGTTTGGGCTGGGTGTGCAGGTACCACTGGCTGCTGTTGTTGATAAATTCTATGGAGGAAACCTGAGCCAAGTAGTGGTTTAATACTGGGCATACAAACAGAGAGACAAAAATGTTGAAAATACAGTGATAATATTCAAGTGGCACAACAGAGGAATGAGGTTTCAATATTTCTCTTCTCTCCTCACACGCTGTTTGCTTTTAAGTCGATATCAACAATGCATCAGCACAATTTTCCGTTTGAAGTTCACGCCAGTAATGAGATGTACATAGCGAGAGCATATTAAACCCATTTTTCTGTTAAAGATGATGGAGGTTTCTCTAACAAGACATGCATTTAAATGAAACGCAATAATAATATAAACTCTCTGTTGCTATTGATATATAGATATATGCATTCACGTTTTCTAGGTGTGGCATTAATTGTGAGAGTAATGCCCAGCATCACACTGAGGGTGTGAGTGTGCCTCGGCCCGTAGACGCACTTAAAAACCATGTTTCTAGCTCCGTGACCAGACAAGCTACAATGAACTTTAAATATAAAGAGTTTGTGCCATGAGACTTCCCACAAAGGTCAAGTCTCGGGTAAATTCGGGCTGAACACTGGATAAGCAGGTGGCAATCGGCTGCAGCTGAGGTGCAGCTATCTAAAGGACTGAATATCTTCATACATTCGATTTGAAACACACAGAAAGTGGTTAACAGAAAAATAATCAGTCAAAAGTTATAGAGTACTGACACCCTGGCGTTATAGATGGGAAGACTCGAATGTAGTAGTAGTTATTTTTACGTAGGTGTATCACGGTACTAGAAGGTACTCACATCTGTGTGTGTGCAGCTGCGTTTTCGTGCCTTCTGGTCTCTCCTCAGCCACTCAACACCGATGCGCGGATGCAGACTGCCGCCTCGTCCTGTTGATGCTTCGTCTTGGCGAGAGTCTTCAGCCATATAATGGTGAAGCTCATATGTAGGCAAAGCTCTTTGCTTCAAGCAGATGTTGCTGTTGTGTTTAATCGCTTTCCACTGATGAGTTATGGACGCTAGAGTCTTAACTACGATGTTGTAGTTTGTTTTGCATGGTCCATTTTTTCTGTAATGGTTTTGTTGAATAGATGTCGTTTCTCCGAGTACATGTATAGATATAACGGCAACAAGCACCTTGGTGCAGAGAATTATGCTCAGTGCCTCAACACAACTTGCTTGAGCTTATGCGGGTCCTTCTCCAGAACGCTCCTAGGGCGCAACGGCCTGTCGGAACGGTTGCAGAGACGCTCGGTGACAAACATAGAAGAACACCCCTTCTCCTTAGCCATGAACACTGGAGATGGTGGCCACGTCGCAAGTTGTGAAACTGCGAGGGAGACTCCATTGTGAAAAGGTTAACTATAGAAGATAAAGGATCTGACGAAGAAACAAGCTACACAGCTTTTTTCTTTTCTATCACTTTGTTTTGTGACACCACGGTGCTCGCGAATATTAGACAATTTTGACTAGATTACCGTGCTCATCTATACTACTAACCACACAGCCCGAAGACGACCGCAATGCCGCCGCGCCATGAGCCTGTTTCTGTGCTTCACTATGCAGGCTGAGCCTGTTTCTGCCTCACACACGACATCCAATCTGAGGACTATTCCGGACATATTTCTGTCCGTTATAACATTTCGATAGACTGTAAATAAATACATGAAAACAAATCCATGGCACCAAATATGTTTTCAGCATCTAAAGGTTTTATTTAAACATGTAAATCCTGAAGGGAGTCTGGTTTGTTCCTGCTGCTTACAGGGAGAAATGATCATCTAAATGAATCTGCTTGGAAAATATTATAGTGCACTGAAAGACAAAGAAGTAATGGCTGTGCAGCAAAGCAAGCAAGAAACAGGGGAAACAAACTGCACACGAACAGCGCTCGAGACGAGCAGTTATCTTCTAAAAGCACGTGCAGCCGCGGTGGGAAGGGGAGGAACCCTGCTGTTTGCAGGCCGAGGACCGAGCTGCTGTGCGCGGAGATGGATTTAAGCAGATGATAGCTGACTGCGTGAGGTACAGTAGAGAAGCGTCCGCGCTGCCGACCGACTTGTAAATAGTGCTGTTTGTTTCAAGAGGGGAGAGCAATGCTGTGTCATCCAGAGTGTGATACTCTGTGGGGGAATCAACCCACTGTAATTAACCCACTGTACTCAGTCCACAGAGAAACCTGACAAGGAAGCGCTGAAACTGACAGTCAGAGAGAGAGAGACAGAGAGACAGCCAGACTGAATGAGAGCTGGGATGAGCAAGTCTAGCTTTTTATTTCTATCTTTATTTACTTGTTTTTATTGATATTTATTTATTTCAGAACATGTGCATGCTGACTTTTTTGACTGGCTGTTATTATTATTATTATTATTATTATTATTATTATTATTATTATTATTGTTGTTGTTGTTGTTGTTGTTGTTATTATTGTTAGTGCCTTTCAGCTTCTCTATCGACAAGCCGCGTTCTGCGCCTGTGCAGTGCGCACTTGGAGCTCTGAGGGGGGATCTCAGTGGGTTATTTTCTTGCACACACACACACACACACACACACAGACACACACACACACACACACACACTGCAAGAAGAGCTTTGCTACATTGCTACACGCAGTAGCTCAGTCCCCCTCGGTGTGTGAAAGCAGCAGGGAGAAAGTGATTCGTTGCCCACTGCTCCTCTCACCGGGTCAGCCTTACAGCTGTGGTGTAGATACGGTGCCCTCCTCTGAGCCTTGGTATCTTGGTAGCATTCCCAACACCACCAGACTATAATGTGCATTATTATTATTATTATTGCGTTTTCATTTAAATGCATGTCTGGTAATTATCTGGTAATTGCTGTATCAACCCTCGTCATTGCCTCGGGTCAATAGGCCGGACTGAACCTATGCTGACTAAAGTGAGGCTTTAATGTAAAACCAAGTACAACCAGTGAACAAGACAATATTCATAAAATACTGTAGAAGATAACCCCAGCCTTCACTCGCCTCCACGGGGCTTGGTGGTGACCCTGACTCCCCGTCCACGATAATCCACCTCAAGAACCAGGGTAGCCCCCAAAACACTGTTCCCCACCCGACATGAAGCCACGAAATTATTCAAAATACATTCTAACAACTTGTGCGTGTAACCACCAATAAGGAGCTTTGTAACATACAATGGAATCTCACACTGAAAACAGCGAGCTGTGTGCTGTGTGCACATAGGCCGCGGTGGATTTCTATTAACAGCCTCACAGCGGTTTAATAGAGCGCTCGCATTACTTGTGCCACTGCAGACATTGTGATTAATATGTCACTTGCAAATATGCACTGGCCCAAACCAGCGATTACCTATTAGGAATCCTGGATTATTCATAACATTTAATTATTTATTTTGATCAGCATGTATATAATAAACGCTGAATGAATGTTTTATCGAGACCACAAGTAGATCATGCCTACTCAAATAACTGAGAAGACATTTTGAAAGAAAATAAAACCCTCGTAAATTCTACGTTTAACAAGGTTAAATACATGGATTAAATTAAATAAAAAAATAAAAACTTTACGCATTAAATGGGTTTAAATGACTCTTCCATCTCCATAAAGACCCGAATGTAAAACCACTTGAGAATAATGTTTAGGAAAATGAGGTAGTGTTGAGAGCCGTTTTGTCAGTGTGTGTGTGTGTGTGTGCGGTAATAACCCAGCAGCAGCAGCAGCAGGCATCCTTCTGCACACTGCCACGTGCAGCAGGGCTGACGCGGAGGCCGCGCTGGGTCTGCAGGTGAAATATACGCTGTGGCTTCGCGTTAAATGAAGCGTGAATCTGCAGCGCGTCTATAAATCAGATGCCAGCGTGACTTATATGTCTGCTTGGTGACACGAGCGCATGAACTGCCCCGGTTGTCACTCAGCCGTGTGTGTGTTTGCAGCTCTGCTCCGCTGCCTTTCCAAGCAGGCTGATAGCGCTGCTGACAGACTTTCTCCAACTCCTGAAGAGCGGAGAGTGAGCTGCTTTATTCTCCAACCTCAAACTATTAACTCGACACACATTCTCACCCTGCCTCACTCACTATAAACACCACCGTTTATGCTCAATTTAACCCAAATAAATACATTTCTCTGTCTTTTTATTTTTTACCTTGTACCTTGAGTTTGCTGGCTCATTAAACTCTCAGAAGTAAAAGAAACGCGCAAGAAGTGTTTGTCTGTCTCCACCACAGAAACTGCAACACTGCAAAAGCCTTCATTACGATGTAGCCGCGTTTATCTCCGCATACGCCCTTATTGTGTCACAGCCAATTAGCCAATCAGTTCAATTAACCAGAAAGCAATTAGACTAAAGCCTGAACCCTTTCAAACCACATAAATGTGCGTGTTGTACTCTCAGGAGAAGTGTGAACCTCGTGTCGCGCGGCTCGACCAATATCAGAGAGTTTGGAAATTCACAAGACTTTAAATATTTAAGTGCGTGAAAAACTTGCGTGAAAGTGTTTAAGTGTTTTCACAAGTAACTTAAAAAATGTGTTCAAATACTAAAATAACTGCATTTGTACTTTTTGACGGGCTTTAATTTGACACTGAACTGTAAAAAGTAATTCCAATAACAGATCATAATACACAAAAACCCCGCTTATTTTGTTATTTGGCGAGCTTCTTACCTCCCGTCCTCCTCTCTGCGCTGCCTGACCTTTGTACTCCTTCAGCCTGCTCTCCAGTCTTCAGTCCTCCCTGTGCCACACTCGTGCAGCACCTCTGCATCTGCTGCAATCAAAGAACTTCAGTTTTTTCTTCTTTAATAGATGTATATAGCGGCAGATTAGAGCTGGCCTTCTTGGAAGGGAATTAAACCTCCACGGACTCCCACTGTCACGTGATTGGAGCAGAAGGAGGTTTCGGCTGTAGCCAGTCTGACACCAGCGTTGGACTGGGAAATATGACTTCCAATTGGTGATCAGTGATGGGAGGCAAACACCACCATTCGATTCATGTTCTGTGAATTATTTTGCAACATTATTTCGCTCCTTTTGCGCTACTTGTTACTAAGCAACACAACTAACATTCATTCTACAGACCCCCAGCCAAACGAACTGCATGCAGGTATATTTATGTGCTAATTATCGTCCACAAACCATTAATCTTTAAATCAGGTGACTGTGAATTTGTCAAATTTATTTCCTTTGTTGATAACAAAAATTCAAATACATCTGCTGA